ACATTTTCCCTATAAATACCCCCTCATTTCTGATGTGCGGTGCAACCAGAATTTTATTATTCTTATTTTCTCTCTTCTATGCTATTAACCTAAACACTAGCCTACCCATTTTACTTCAAAATTCCTTCTTCAAGCACTCAAAGGAGTCCATATTTTACTCGAGGTTCTGTCCTTAAGCCAAGGCGTGAAAGGTAGAATCGTTTGAGGGTTTGGCCCCAAAATCAACCTTCTTTTATTTAATTTGATTTAGTTATTGTTTTATTATTTCCTTGAAGTTACTAACTCGTTTATTATTTTGTAGTTGCAAAAAAACAGATTCAAAGTAAGGATCATGCTCTTTTATTATTATTATTATTATTATTATTATTATTATTATTATTATTATTATTATTATTATTATTTTTCTAACAATTTTATGTTGTTGGAATCCTAATTAAATTGGTTTTAATATTAATGTTATTCTATTTTATTATTATGATCACCATATTGTATGTTTAAAGGGAATATGTAATTGAAAATCACGCCTAATAAGATAATTTGGACAACCGGTTTAGGATCTTTTTAATCTTATTATTAATTGAAGTGATCACCAAATTTTTAGAATTATGTGTGCATTAATTTTAAACCAATTTAGTTAACTAATAGTTTGGAGCGAATTGAATATTTTGTTTGTATGCCTTTGAGATCACAGGAATGCTTTTCAATATAAGAATCGAGTAGAGGCCAATACGGGCGAATGTGACTCCATGACTCACTTCGTACCATCATCCCCGATCCTCCTTTCGTGGTTTCGAACCATATGGAGTTAGTAATCTCATGGATTATGAATGGGGTGTAACCTTCACGGGTCAATCGTTGTTGCCTTCGTTGTCCCTTATTTGTGGTTGCCTTTTATGATCCGTTAACGGTTTACAAGTTCCTTAAAAACTTTTGGCGGCTCCCTACTTTATTTGTCCCTAATTGTAATGTCAATTCCCACTTCCTATGAGTGCCAAGCATATTCACAACATGCTTTTAACATAAGCGCACTTCAAACGACGCCTACAGTAGAAGTAATATATGATTGAATGTGTCCCCAATTTTGGGGAATTTCTCCCTATTTATAGGGTTATTGGAGGGTGTTCCCCTTTCTAGGTCATTTTACCTAGATTTGGTGGGTTGCGCCGTTTTTCAGCATTCTTGGGAATTGGGCCCTTGAAGGCCAGGTGGTATTTGAGGTTGACACGTGTCAGCTGGCAGTCTGGGCTTGACACGTGGCCCTCTCTAATTGGTTCGTGTGGGCAGGGTAATTTTACCCAAAACAAAGTCAATTAAATTTAAATTAAGACTCAAATCTAAAAATACCTTTGTCAAAAAGAAAAAAAAATCAATAAATACCTTTGTAAAAAAAAAATCAATAAATACACAAGTTTGTAACTGATATTCATGGAGAATTCTGATTATTTATGTACTCTTGTTCTCTGCAATAAAAAAAAATCATTAGGTTTGGAAAAATTGTCCGGAATAATTCGACCTTTGCCGCATTTGCCCAAAATAATCCCATCATTTAATTATTTTTTATAATCTGACCTTTAATACCAATGCTCTTTAAATGGTCCCAACTGATCATTTAGCTAGTTATAGCAAGTTATATGGCACATGTCGGCATCTAATTAGTCTAAAAAATAAATAAAAAATAAATTATATTTATATAATTAATAAAGAAAAACCACTTATTTCATAAAAAAAAAATAATAAACCCCAGCACTCCACCAGCCCAACAACCCCTCACAATTTCCTACTCCCACCAACCTTCCCCGCTACCCGCCGTAGTGTCGCACCAACTTCTCTCTCCTCTCCCCATTGAACCGCCAACTCCTTTCCCCCTCCCCCCTAAACCACCAACCACCATAAAAAACCCTTTCCCGTCCCGATCCCGACCTTCCTCCCCTTCCCCTGTCCATTTTTCGACCCCTTCCCCTTCCCCTCGCCCTGATTTCGGTCTCTCCCCTTCCCCCGCCTCAGTTCCAGCCGCCCTCTTCTTCCCACGCATACCTGATTTTGGTAATGGGTTTGGTGGTTTAGAACTGGAAAGGGCGAGGGGTAGGGGGTGGTGACTGGCGTGGGGCTAACGGTGGATCTGGGACGACAAGTTGGGCACAAGAGCTGGGGTCTAGGACAGTGAGGGGCAGGGAGGTGGCTGGCTCAAGATAGTGGTGGTGTTAGTTTTTAATTATTATTATTTTTTACAAAAATTAAGTATTTAAAAAAAATAGTTTTAAATTAGTTAATTAAAATAATTAGTAATAATCTTTCTTTAAAAAAATTAAAATTAAAAGTTATTTGACCAATCATGTTGTGGCATGTATAAATTAAACTTAATAGTAAAAATAAAATAAAATCCTATTCAACCCGTTGAAGGTCACTTGGGACCATATGAGGCGGATTAGTATTAAAGATCAGAGTATTACAAAATAATTGAAAGGTGGGAATACTTTGGGTAGATGAGGCAAATGTCGGATTACTTAGGGAAAATTTTCCTTTAGATTTTTCCCTTCAAAGTATCCCGATTCATTTTAAATATCAAATTAGTATTTTCAATTTCATATCTTAACTTAAGCTTGTTGCTTTTCTTTATATGTATATGTTGAAGGAGAGTTCAACCCTCTAGATAATTTGGAGTAACCATAATATCCTTCCTAAAAGTGTTATAAAGATGCAAATCAAAGAGAAATTGAGTATTTTTAGTGGACAATCCTATTCTATAGAGCATTCCTCCAAATGGAACACTTATTACGCGTACATTAGGGTACTAAAGTCTAATCATACTGAATACAAATTTATTGAATAACTTTTTTTTGCACTATTTTAAAACTCGTGCTTATAAACAACCCTATCTAGTGATATATATTATATTTCAATACTTATGAAAAATACTAGTATTAGATAATTGTAAACAAATCTAACTATGTAATAGTTATGTTGAGATCTCTTGTAAATTACCCGGTGCATCTCTGCCTTAGCTACCATGTGTCCATGTGTGTATACAATTTTATGGTAATGAGTGTTTTTTTTTTTATATTTATTTTATGTTTAATTCTCTATTTCTAGGTAGCTATTTTACCGTTCCCTCGGACATGAAATGCATAGTATACAATATTCATAATACTCGCAATTGTTATAGCAAAATATAATATAATGCACACAACCCTAAGACATTAGCACAAAGTGCTACAACTCTTCTTGAAGGACTAGCCGTTTTGCACACATCAGATCCACTAGTATATCAGTTAAAGTTTTTAACAACACTAGGCCTCTTCTGTTGAGCTTAATTTCAGTTCAGTTCAATTCAGTTTAGTTTAGATCAGTTCGGTTAAGCTCTAATCAGTTCAATTCTTTTGCTAATTTATTAATTTTATATGATTTAGCTTATGATATTGTTAGTGATGATTTAGTTTAGGCATGCATTTGAACTGATCTTTTTAATTTCTTTGATCTTTATGTTTAATGATAATGCTTATGATCATTACTAATCCATAGTTTAAATTTATTAATCCATAGTCATGCCTTTAGGTTGATCTTTTTTTCTAGTTTGGAATGGAAATGCATAGTTTTGGGTTCTTTTTATTTTATTTTATTTTTTTGGATATTTTCTTCGCTTTTTTTAATTGTTTTGTTTTTGTTTTAATTTTTAAACCGCCAAACTATTACAATAGATTAATTTCACATGCATTAACTAACATGAAAATAATTTTTTATTTTAAAAAAAAAACTAACACTGGATTAATTTTGAATTTCATTTTATTTTCATAATTATTTGTGGATTAATGTCATTACTAATCTATAGTGAAAAATCATTAATCTATAGTAAAATATTTCAGCTCTAATCAGTTCAGTTCAACCCTAATAAGTTTAGTTCAGTTCACTTTAGTTGTTTTCATAATTATTTGTGGATTAATATCATTATTACTAATTTATAGTTAAAAATCATTAATCTATAGTAAAATATTTCAGCTCTAATCATCTTCAATTAGTTTAGGAAAAATTGCTCCCATTAATCTGAACTTCGCCTCGTCCGCCGAAAAAAATCCCAACTTTCGTTTATTATCTATCACTCCCAACTTTAAGGGGTATTAATTTTTGTTGCACCCAACAGGTCATCTAACTTGCTATGTAGCAGGTTACCTAGACACGTGTCAACACGTGATGGGTCCAAAAAAAAAAAATATTAAAACAAAAATTACAAAAAAAAGAAAAATACCCAGCCCCCACCCTATCCCGAAAAACACCACACCCCCACCCCTTACCCCGCCGGAAAAACCACCCCTTCCCCGAAAACCCCTCCCTCGCTACCGGAAACCGCCGCCCAGCCACCCCTTCCCTTCCCCCACCCTCGATAACCCCTCCCCAGCCCCGATAACACCCCTCCCTAGCCCCGATAACCCTCCCCACCCCCGATAACCCCTCCCCACCACCCGATTACCCCTCCCCAGCCCCGAAAACCCATCCCCAGCCCCCAATAACCCTTCCCCAGCAACCGATAACCCCTCCCCACCCTCGAAATCGGCGAACCAAGCCACGAAATCGGCGACGCCTATGCACGAAATCGGCCACAATCGGCCGAAATCGGCCGGTTTAGGGTATTCAGCCCCAACATCGGCCATTTTCAGCCATTTATGGCCAATATTGGCCATTTTTGGCCAACGGTGGTGGTGGTTTGATGTGCGTCGGTGGTGTTCGTGTGGTGGTGGGTGTGGTGGGGGTGCTGCTGGGTTGTTCTGAATTTTTTTTCTACATTTTTCTTTATTTTTTTAAATTTTTTTTTATTTTTCTCAACCTATTATATATTGACACGTGTGCAAAAAAAAAAATCACATAGGTCTACCTGCTTTACCGGTTGCAAGTCATTTGGGTGCAATATAAATTAATACCCCTAAAGTTGAGAGTGATAGATAATAAACGAAAGTTGAGATTATTTTCGGCGGACGAGGCAAAGTTCAGATTAATGAGAGCAATTTTTTTTTTTTTTTTTTTTTTTTTTGAACGGCAATTTTTCCATTAGTTTATTTCATTTAATTTGTTTTCATTAAATCCGACAGACCCTACGTGCTATTTTCATTTCATTTCATTTATTTTTCTTTTTCCAATTGATGTTGTTTTTCTTAATAGAGGGAGCACACAAGAGCCGAACAGCGGTTCCATTCATTCATTGAGTCCGCTGTTCGCCGCACTCACATTCACTTCTCCCAAACTCTGACCGGCGATTTCTTCTTGCCCCATAAAAATGGCTAGCAGAAAACTTGCTCGTGATTTCTTCTTCTCCAAGCAACGTCTTTTCCTCCCCTTTTTACCCCATCAACAGGTTTTTTTCTCCCCTCTTTTCTTTCAATTATTTATTATTATTTTTTTTTTAATGGGTGTTGTTTATCTTAATTTATAGTTCCAGCAATCGAATTCCAAGCTTAGGTTGATTTCTGGAAATGGGTATTCGTTAAATCGTCAATTTAGTGTGTTTAATGAGTTTTCCAACAAGATTAAAGGTGAAGCTTCAAGGTAATTTCACCAACTTATGCATTTTTTGTGATTAATTGTCATTTCTATGTGTTTTTTTTTACTTCCAAATTGAGTATAATTCCTTTATTCTGGAGTAAGTAATTCAATTTCTGCTTTTCTTGTGAATAATTTTATGAATGTGTTCATGTCTCTTCCTTTTAATTAAACGAGGATTGAGAAATTGACCGTCATTCATTTAAGAACTACTTCCTCCGTTCTTTTATACTTGACCCGCTTTTACTTTTACACTATTTATCACCGCTCTTTTGACCGTCTTTTGTGAATATTTAAGGACAAACATATTCATGTGAGATCTTTTTGAATTCGTCTCAATAAAGTATTAAGTACTATCATAATATATAACTTTTAAAATTTTTTACTTATTGAGAATTAAAGTTATTGTTCGTTTAAGTTTTGCATTGACAAACGTGATAAAAGAAACAGGTCCAAATCTCTCCCTTGTTGGAGGGATAAATTTCTTGCAATTTAATCCCTTCATTTCTCTCCCCTCCAATTCCCTTCCTTCCTTCCTCATTTGTTGTCCGGATGTCCTTTCTTTCCCTCCATTTCCTTCAATCCAAACACACCGTAAAACTCTTTTTGGGGTAATTCCAGAGAAGTTTGAAATTGATTTCTAGGGTAATTACTAGCTAAAAGCTAAAATATGAGAGAAGAAAAATATGAAATATTGGGCATCTACTTGCAAGGGGTTGAAGGCGGGTTTTTTTTTTTTGTTTTTTTTTTTAAAGACTAAAAATAAAGCAATTGGGGTATAGAATGAGGCCATGCAGAATTTGAGGCCCTGTGCGGAAGATTTAAGAGAGATTATTTTATAAAAGTGAATGCTTTTAATGTATACAAAAATTAAAAATGTGTCCTTTCTAATTCTATCTTGGGGTTTTTTAGCTGTTAAATTGATCCGGTTATCGGGTTGCTTCGTTCATGTACATAGATTCTTATGCTGAGGGAAGGGACCAATTCCACCACTTAGGGACGCAAGTACTTTATTTGCAGGGTTTGTTATCAAGGCATTAGTTAGATATTGTTGATACTCTTATCTTGCAAGGCCATGTAAGTTTCGGGTAGAGGGTTAAACTAAGTTAGCCTATTCATGTAATCCTTTCCCTCGTAAATTATTTGATTATGATAAAATCAAGGGTTGTATTTTTTTCCCCTTTTAATCTCTTTTTTGTCTTGATATGAATTTGAATAATGTTTTATATGAATTTTACTTTATTTATTTTCATTTGGCTTTGCATGAAGTATCAATATTGAATTCAGTAGTAGACAGTGCGAATGTAAACACTTAGGCAATTTACTTCTTGGGAATCTGATTCCATTAGCCATCTTGCTCATAAATTATAATTTTATTCCCTTCATTCTGTTGATCTTTTTAATCAATTGGTGTGACTTAGTAGCTAATCATGGTTGTTTTCTTTGGGCTTGGGTGTATACATTTTATATATGTATTTGATATTTTTTTAACTGCATGATAGTAATAAGGAATTCCAACAATCAGTTAAGCAGCTGAAAGAGAAAGCAGATGAGTTAAAAGGAGTAAAAGAAGATCTTAAAATCAGGTAATTTGTTCAATTACTCCTTGGTGTAATGGTTGCTTTTTGGTTTATGTTTGGTAAGGTGTTTCTTTGGTAGTGTGTTTGGATGAAGCATTTCAAAGGAAAGGGAAGAGACGGTGAGATTTGTCTTCTCTAGTTTGGTTATGTTAACCAAATCCTTTTTATGCTGAAAAGAGTTGGAAGAAACGTTCGCACACTCTTTTCCTTTTTTCTCGTGGCATTCTTCTCCTGCCATTTCTTTTCCTTTCTGTTTGCTAACTAAACACATTATAATTCTTATCATATTTTTCAGCTGAAACAGATGGCTTCCATTTAGTGATGGCAGATGTGTGTCCTGACATGATGAATGTTTTATGCAGAGTGAAACAGACAACTGAGCAGCTACATAAGCGTGTTGATGGTGTGTGGACAGAAGCTGAAGAGACTGCAAAGAAGGTTTGTTCCTGAATTAAGTTTAATATCTAGTCTTATAAGGTCAGGGTTGCTTTCTGAACTCATTTTAACAAAAGCAGTCACAATGTGTTGGCTGATTTTTACGCACAAGAATGTTCTTGTTTCCTTAATATGTTTGCTGTCTTCATAGATTTAGAGCTTCTTTTCTTCATCTTTCTCATTCTTACTTTTTTAGAAGTTTGAGTAAAGATTTTAATAAGAAAACTAGATTAGTCCCGTGCGATGCACGATTTTAACAAATAAAATTGTACTACGTAGTGTTGAACTCACATATACACTCGCAGCGCATATAATCTACAAATAATCTTCTCGAGTGAGGCGTTACATAATTAATTAATATATTATTGTACTTAAAATAGTACTCCGTATTAAGTTTGTAATGCATGACAAAATCACACATCAATCGGATAATTAATGTTAATTTTACTTTAATATTTCCACATTTTTGCCTTAGATAAAATCATAAGTCTATGTTGTTAAGTGATATATTACTAATGATACAATCAACCGTACTCTTTCAAAAATAATAAAAATAAATATAAAAATAAATAAAAAACAAACTCTTTCAATATAATTGACCTGTAGTGGCCAAGTTAAAATTAAATGATACAACATCCAAAGTATCAAATACAGAGAAATACTACAAAGTTAAATTTATCAATCTTCGAAAGAAAAAAAAAAGTATCATCAACAACATGTTCAATAGTATGTCAAAATATTGAGGTGGATGATTTCTAAAAAAAAAAAACACACACACAGCAATATGATTAATCATTATTTAAAAGCAAATGTAATCTATCATTAATATGAATTCGAAGTAGAAAAACAAATATCCGTTAATATCCCTACCTTTTAGGAAAATAGTAGTCAATTTATTTAATTACTTGTAATTTAAATTATTGATTTATGTAAAATATATAGTAACTTTGGATAAATACAAAAACAACTATACCAATTCAAATCCCATTATTTTAGGAAATAATAGTTTACTGCTGTAACTTTAAATGATAATTTTTTATTTTTTTTCTAAAATAAGCCATACAATTGGGCGGGAAATTTTTTCATAATAAGTCGACACGTGTACAGGTTTGGGGGAAAGATGACGTCAGCGGTTGCTACTTTAGTTTATTTATAGATTGTTATTCAAGGACTAGGTCTTTGCTGTTAGATCTGTTTAAACACGATTCCTTATCCTTTCTCAAGTTTCCTGTTGAGGCTGAAACATTACATTGGTCCATAAAATAAAAAAGATTTGCCACATTGGTAAAATAAAAAAATTCAGCAACTAGTTGGAATGTAGGAAAAGAGTGGCGTCAACTGATACATCTTGGTTGGAGTTAGTGTGTCTACTGTTGTTTCCTTTTTACTCTTTATCAACCTTTTCTTGTATGTATCAACTCTTTTTCAAATTCAATATTATATTATAATATCCTATTAATTAATTTTTAATGGATTTTAATGTTTTGGTAGTATAGCAATTATTTTTGTGATCTCAAGGAGCTTATGTTACGATAATTATTAGAAATATCATTGAAAGAGGGTATATATCGAAAATTACAGTATACAGGCTGCTATGATTAATTTTTAGGTGTATTTATTGTGGCTTCTGTCTTTATGTACCAAAATGTCGCCAGATTTTTGTTTATCAATTCGGAATTCCCTCCTATTTGTAGACACCCATTTGGTGATTCAGCTGCTCTCTTATATAATCAAATTTAAACTTATTTTGCTACATTGCATTGCATTTTTCATGTCCATTTTAGGCCAACCATGCGTAGTCTCCTTTTTGGTCTTTGTTTACATGAGAGGGCTTCAAAGCTTTACCATCCAATTCCATTTTTGTTAACCTTAGTCATCATTCATGACTAATTTTCTAAGCATCTATCTTCTCTCCTTTGCGTCAATTCCTATCTATTCAATTGTGGTTTGTGGTGTATTTAAATTGTGAACCTGTAACTTTTCTTTGCTTAAACCCCTATTCAAATAAAAAAAAATGTTTGGAAGAAATGTTGTACTTTCTTATCAAACATATATTTACTTCCTGCAGGTTTCTGCAAATATGAAAGAAAAGATATCATCTGCAAAAGAGGAGGTCTGCTTAGTATCTTTATGCATTTGGAATTTTCTTCTGTATATAAATCCATCAATTTCAAGTATGTTTATGTCTGTTGCAATTTCTTTTGTAGGTTAAAGAGACTCTGGGTTTAAAAGGCCAAGAACCTTCAGCATCTAACAATACTAAGGAAAACGAAAGTGGTAATGTTAAAGATGAGGCTAAATCCTCATCTGGTGAGCCACACCAGCAATCTGAGCCTAGCGGTACTGTAGAGACTTTATTTAGTAATTTTAGGTCAACTTTTGCTTCGTCTTCTCCCAAGTTTTCATCAGCCTTCAAGAAATTGAAGGAAGCGAAGGTAGCTGACTTAGCCAAAAAGAGTTATACCATAGTGAAGGAAGAATTGAGTGGAAAACCAAAAAGAAGGAAAAGAATGCAGTATTCTTCTTCATCATCAACAGGAGAAACAAGTGACAGAACTGAAGTTGTTGTGGTACCAGTTAAGCAATCCCCATGGAGCAAAAAGTGGGAGTCACTAAAAGAAAAGGTGAGTTTGCTGCTATATTAGTGTTATTTTTTCCTGCAATTGTTGTTGTACATTACCTTATATGGATTCTTGTTTGACCTAGATGCGAGGCAGTCCAATGTTTAAACGCGTCACTAGGATAAGTGAGCCTGTGGTTACAAAGAGCCAAGAGGTATGCTTTAACAATAACTGTTTATCGCAGTTGATTAAACCTAAATAGTTGAGCAGTTTTTGTTCCCCCTTTTCAGATGTAATGATCATCTTGTGACTTGGGTTATTTCATATTGCAAGACATCTACTACCTCCATTAACATTTACTTGCCACTTTGGAATATTTTATGTCTCTCAAATAATACCCCAAAGTTGCAAGTAAATGTTAACGGAGGTAGTATTTATTTTTAAAAAAGTCCTACTTGGGCTAATAGAGTGATACTCCTTAGATGAGAGATACTTCCTTTTAATTGTTCTTTATGGTTGATTAATGCAAATGTATTCTATTAATTGTCTCTTATTGATTAAATTCCATTCGTTTATTACAGTTTTTAAAATTTGAAACATTTAGGAATACATAGTGATGTAAGGTAGTTGTGAAGGTTCATTTTGGAGCTAGTAGCTATTTTGGGTACGAATTAGGGCTCTATAAGAATTCAGTTATTTGCATTCTTAAATCTTGCAGCTCTATTGAGCCATGTAGTGCTCCCACTTAAAATCTAGAGCTAGGGGTTATCAGGGTTTACATTAGAGCTTCTCGTCTTACTGAGTATTGGATTATCTGCCACTTTTTACCCTATGAGGTATATTGCTTGATTGATATTTATATTTAGTCGAATCATATTTAAGTGGACATTTTAGTTTATTTATTGTTCTTACTGTATCAAGCTATCAATCTATTACTGTATTATCTTAGTCTTGTTTTCTGTATGTAAATTTTAAATTAGGGTAATCACATCTATTACCCAAAAAATAAAGAAAAGGGCATAACTTAATAAATTCATCATTGCACTTCACTGCATCCAAAGTATATATTGGTTATGTCTCTAGCTGGTGATTGGTTCAATTTTTTGTGCATAATATGTAGGTTTATCTCTGTATGTCTTATATCTCAAATATTAAACCCTAAACTAGCAAGTGTTTTGGTTTATGTTCTAGGTTATTATTTTTTGATATATTTTCTTTGTTGAGAATGTATTGATGTCGTAACTTAAAAAGTTTGGGGTAAAAATAGGTTACATTAATCTAAGTTTTTTCAAGAATTGAGTGGGGTAAAATGATAATATTGCCCTCTTATTATTAGCAAAAATGTGTTGAGAGGTTTAACTACATGCAAAAGTCTTTTGAAAAGATATATTTATAGAACTTTATATTATATCCAATTTTTATAAATTATACTTCCTCCATTCTATTAATATTGCAACCAGGATGAAATTACGCATCCCAAACACATTTTATATGCTAAATATCTATAATTGTGTAAGAGGAAAAATTATAAAAAGTTGATATTGTGAAAGTATTTTATTAGACGAAATCAACAAGATCCCATATGATTATATTTTGCTTAACGTATGAATCATATTATATGGTCAAACAAGAGTGATGAATAGTGCAAAAAGTTCATTGTTGCAACATTAATAGACCGGAGGAAGTATATTGATTTTATATCGGATTAGTGGTTAAGGTATTGCTTATCAATTTCAAAGGTCACAGGTTATGTTTTTTGTAGCGACAATGTTTATTAATTTGATTGAGGGGTTGACTTGGGAATAAACTTTTTGCATGAAAGGAGAGTACCACATGGCACATGGACTTTTTGAAGAACACTTTTAACATATTAGTTTTTTTTTTTTGTCAATCAAGAAGTATAATATATGTTGAAAACTTCTCATGGTATGACAATGCTAAGTTATTTTTATAGTGATGATTTTGGCTTTAATTGGCATAGAGCCATAGAAAGTTTCTAATGAAAATTTTCTGTTTGATATCATATGTGGCTTAAATGGAGAGCATTTGGTCATTATGTGATCTTAGTGTGTGTTTTAGGTTAAAGTAAAATTGTATAGGACTGATTAAATTAACATTGTTATGTATGTCATGGCAAATAGGCATTCATGAAGGTCCATATGAAGAAGATGAGTATATTGAGATGGATGTGTGGGAGCACTTTGGAAAGGATTAGGAATGTAGATATTCATTGGAAGGTTGGAATTTCATATGTTATGGACAACATAATGCAGAATCGTCTAAGTTGAGGTGGGCATGTCAGACATTGACTGGAGTATTAGAGGATGCATTGGTAAGATAGGTGGAGGGTTGAAATAATGGGGGATTTTAAAATGAGTTTAGGGTTGCAGAAGATGACTTAAATAGAGCATTTATCACTAGATAGAAGTGAATGGAGGAGGATGATCTTTGTGAATTACCATATTAGATTGATTATAATTTATAAGTTCACAACCATGGGTGTTAAAACTCAATCACGATGTATCTTTTTAGCCGAGTTGTATAGGCTCTCAAATCTACCACACTAATTTTTATATAGATGGAGTTTATAGCCGATTCAACTGTTAAATTATGGTCTCGGCTGATATTTGACACTACTACTCCGTTACCTAGTTTTTTAGACGATTATTCTACTTTTCTGAACTCATTGTACTAGAATTTTGTTATGATTATCATTATGTTTATGTTGTTAGTGGTTCTTGAGTTATGATTTTAAAGTACTGGTTGACATTCTGGAAAAGACTCGCAACAATCGTAGTCCTGTTTGCGAGCATCATCTGCATACTGAGATATGTGACCATTGCCACATTTTCAAACCATGCATGCAACCGATCCCATCTTCTGATAATTGTTTTTTTTTTTTTTTATTCTTTATGTATTTTTATTTTAAATGCATGCCTGAATTTTGATCTGATTGTATATTTTCATATCTATGTAGCTGGCTGAAGATCTACAGGAAAGATGGGAAACTAGTGATAGTCCTGTTGTACATAAAATTCAAGAGTAAGTTCAGCTACACATTGTGTTAGCTTTGCATTTATGTGCTGATGAAGTGGTTAAATTAGTTATCTGAATCTGATGTTTCACTGCATACTCTTAAGATTTGATAAAATTCATGTGGTATCTCAATGTTTTGAAGTAGCATCATATATCTACGAGGTTTGGAAAATGTACTAGGTGTAATTGATGATTAACGAACGTGAACTCTGTCAACCTTATAGATCCAAATCTGTTATTAACACAGTACTAACCCATCTTCCATGTTAACTCTTCATATCTATTTTAAGCATGTGACTACTTCAGACCTAGGAACGGAGTAAGTATTAACAAATAAAAAGAAATAAATAAAACAAATCAATTAATCCCAAAATTTTTATGTTAAAATTTTAACTGTTTAGTATGATTTACAAATTAATATATTCTATCAAACCCACTTAGAATTCAGATTATGTCTAATGTAAATAATTGTGATGGTTAATCGTTGGTGTTGTTATTACTGTTGGGAGTGTTGGGACTCTCCCTCTTCTCTAAACGTTCAGAAAAATTTGATGGTCGTATTCTTGCACAGAAACTCCATATCTAGAGTCTCTATGGTCGAATTTGACCGTCCTAACTCACCTTCTGGCAGTGGTAGCTCATTCTCATTAGAGCAGTTAATTGAATAAGAAAATTAGGCAAATTAATGCTTTCAAAATCGAAATTCGTGCTTCTTTTTTCACATGAGTCTGTTGAAGAAATACGCCCCTGATTAAAATGCTGAAGCTAATTAGCAGATTTTGAGCAAATGGGTAAATAGATTAACATTGGTTAGGTATCAAGGACAACCAATACATTTCCTTTAAAAAAAAAAATATATCACCAAACCTCATAGGTATATGGTGCACTTTTTAAAACATAGGGGTACCCTGTGAAAATTGGTAAATCTAAATTGGTACATGATTAAATATGCATATATAAAATTACATTAATGATTTCCTTTTTTTTTTCTTGTCAGTATTAATGACAGAGTTTTTGGAGAAAATGATTCTGGATTGTCGTTCAAGGAAATTCGACGTCGTGATCCGTATGTATTTGTTAGTACTAATCATTAGTTCTTTCTTTTGCTTCTGTTATATCACCTTTCAAAATTTATCGCTTTGCTGCCAGATTGTTTTCTTTACCCGACTTTGTAGCTGAGGTTCAGGAAGTAATCAAGCCAGTTCTGAAAGCTTACATCAAGGTAAAGGTTGAAAAGTTCTTGAGAGAAAAAAAAAAGAGTTGATTTTTTTATTTTTTTATTTTGGGGGGGGGGGGGGGGGGGGGTGGGGGGGCTGCAATTTTTTTGTTCATTTGCCACTTTGTTACGTTTCTATTTAAGTGTTTATTTATCTTTAAAATTGCTATTTCCAGGGGGACTTTAAAGTCTTGGAGAAATACTGTAGCTCTGAAGTAGTGGAGCGGTGTAAAGCAGAGCATAAAGTCTTTCAAAGCCAGGATATCTTCTTTGATAATAAGGTCAGGTGCTGCAACTTAGTCACATATTGATGTAGGTCTCAATCAGGCACATAGTGTCATAAGTTTCATTCTGAAGCTCCATCGAATGAAATAATCTTTATAGAGTTAACATAGACTGCTGAGACTTTCTTATTTTGAAATCATTATTTTATGATTCCAATTTATTTTGAAATCTTTGCATAGAAAAATCAGGCACACTGGGTAGGGATTAGGGAAAGAAATGTCTAATGCAACCTTACTAAGCTTTGTTGAAAATGTTGGATACAAATTTGTTTTTGTTGGACATGTACATTTTTTATATGGATAGTTGGACTAATACATCATTTTACAGTTAATGGCTATATAGATTAATTTTAAATGTTATAAGCTGTTATTTTGTACTTCCTCTGTTTCTGTTTTTTTTTTTTTTATTACTTGCAACACACATTTTAGGTACACAATTTTAGGAGGTGATTAGTGAAGGTAAGTGAGAGATTTTATCAAAATAATTTTAACACAAGGATGAGATAAGGGTTATGCAATGTGTACTAATTATTTTGAAAAATATGTCCGAAAGACCTCAAAGGGCGTGCCATAAGGTTGTTTTGCAAGTAAATAAAAATGAAGGAAGTAATTTATTGTGATGTGGTTAAATATATTGCAATAAAAAAAAGAGTCATTTAGGAATCTTGAAATCTCTTATTTCCTTAACCCATTAGGTCAACTCAAACTCGAAATGTTTGGGTCATGAACCAGCATTTTAAAAAACAAGCGTGAACTTTTCTAACTCCAATTCGACCCGGTAAACCAGTTGACTGGTGATATCTCGTGCAAAGCAAACAGTCTCATCCAAGATAATGTGCTACCTCAAATTTTAAAAAATAACGTAAAATTTGCACTAGATTTGGGATAAGAGGTTATTTCAATTTATTATCACCAGGTCAAGGAATGGCTCTTAGTAGTGCTTTTAACCTATTACTACTGGTTCTGGAAGTTCTATCTTTCTGAAACTATTGACTATGAAAAACAATTTGGTCACACTTTACTGTTATGGTGAAGCTGATTTTTTACCATCATGGTCCAAAATGCAAAAGTGTTGCAAGCTGGATACTAGCATACCTTGCTTCAATGTCTGTTTCTTTATGATTTAGGAACAACAGCGATCAACTTAGTTTGTATTAAAATGCATTTTGGTGCTAATAAATTTGTAGAAATCAAATCTTTTGTATTTTTTCTTGATATCTTTAATTCTTAATTTTTTTATTCTGTTATTTTATATATATTTTTTATTATCTATGTTATAAACTTCCCTGACACATGTTTCTATAAAGCAGATTTTGCATGTGTCTGAGGTGGATGTAAGAGAGACTAAAATGATGGGTTCTAGTCCCATTATTATTCTTTCAGTGAGTAGTTTCAAGACTTTTATTTAATTCTTTCAACCATATTTCAAAGCTGCAAGTTTTGAAACTGACATATGTTGCCGATGTATTTCAATCAGTTCCAAACACAGCAAGTGTATTGTGTACGCAATAGACAAGGTTCAATAAAGGAAGGAAGTCAGGTAATTTTGGAATATTTTTTTTTTTTCTGTTGTTTTTCTGTTATTATGTTTGGATCTTTTTAGAAGCTGCTGGGTGAAAATCGCTTTCATAGCTACTTGAATTTTAAGCTTGCGGTGCTAGCAAAGAAGCTGAAAGCTTAGGGTTTGTTTGGTATCATTTGATGTTTTTAGTTTTTATAAAACACAAAACTGATTTAGTTTTATTTTTTAAAAACAAAATTAAAAACTACTTGTAATTTCGTACTTCAAAGCATCTCTTACCGCCCCGCCCTCCCCCCCCCCCATCCCCCGGCCCACAAAAAAAAAAAAAAAAAGAGCTTTCGGCAGACTCTTAATCATTTCATGACAACATCATCATCATCTCTATCGAGTATCAACCCACCCATGCGAGACTAATTAGACCATTCACTCATCCATCTTGCTGTCAACTTTAGAAAATAAAGAGTATAATCAAATTTATTCACAATTTCAATAAGCATTTACAAATTCGAATAATCACCTTGGAAACATGTGATGCACAGCTTCAGAAACTTTAATCCCATTTTTTTTTTTTTTTTTTTTAAAAAATACCAATCTTTTATTATTATTTGTAATTTGATTTTACAAATCGAAAGAAGCAGATTTAGGAAGGAAAACTAGAACCCCAAATTGAAGGATCTCGAATTCCGTATTGTGGTTGCGTTTATTTGCTGTTGACTAACCTTTTCTGGTAAGAAAATTTACAGTAATTTTCTGATTAGTCTCGCATGGCTGATGTACGGAGAACATAGATGGAAAATAGGGGGTTTTGCTTAGTCTTGTTTTACAAAACGACAGAACAACAAAAAGGAGTTTCTAATTTTCCGTTGTGATTTTGAATAAACTGGAGGAAACTTGTTTTTTAAAATGAAATTGCCAAACGCGTTTTGTTTTTTATTGGGAAAAATAAAACGAAAAACTGAAAACCAAATCAGTGCCAAACGGACCCTTATAATTTAGTTTTTTGTTTTTCAAATGTTTCACTGTCTCTACTATGGAATTTTGAATATATACTATTCATTATATCAACTTCTAATCCTTATCACCTTTTCCTTTGGTTGCATGCAATTTAAGAAGACAGCCTCTGAAGAAAGCTGTTTTACTTGATGAACTTGAAACTGTACTAGATCAGTAGGTCATTTGATAATTTGAGGGCTATTAATAGGGTTGTATAGAGTGCGGTTTTGCGGTTTGAAATTTGCGGTGCGGTTTTTAAAAATGACCAAACCGCGGTTTGCGGTTTGGTGCGGTTTCAAAAAATATTGAGACCAAACCGCACCGCAAACCGCAGTTTAATGCAGTTTGCGATTTTTATATTATATTTTCATTAAAATTATATAAAAGAACTAAATTATATGAGCTAATATTTAACTATTAGTTAATTAAAGATTAATTAAAAGAGTTTAATATTTGAATTATGAGCTAATAATTATAAAATAAAATAAAAGTATTGTTTTTAAAAAAATAATTACAATTTTAATAAAATACGGTTAAACTGCAAACCGCACCGCACCGCACCAAACCGCATTTTGCGGTGCGGTTCTTAAAAAGTGTGGTTTGGTGCGGTTTGAAAAAATTACAAACCGCACTTTTGCGGTTTGGTGTGGTTTATGATTCAAACCGCACCGCGAACACCCCTAGCTATTAATGCAGGTTTATATTTTCAGCTGGTGATATTTGATGGATAGTGTAGTCTCAATATATTTTCTAAAAAAGTGTTGTCTTCATTGGTTTAAGATTAAATTCAACTATAAAGGGGGCTAATATTAAAAGGATTAAATTATGAAATTGGATATATTCTGCAAATGATGCCTAGTATGCCCTGGAATGAACCCCAAGGAGCCTCACTATATAATTGCATTGAGAGGGTAGAGGAGTAGTTTGCTTCTTGTTTCTGAGAAATATGAAGTGTGCAATATCATCCGTCATGTACTCACGTAGCTTACTTCATACTTGTGCTGTGTATTTTTTTTACAAGTTATAGGTGTACAGTTTACATGAAATTCATTTTATGTTTTGGTCTCGAGACTATCTTATTACATCCTACCTTACTATAAATGGAAATAAACAACTCACTGCTTTGAAATATTAATTTTAAAATCTTCAGAAAAGCCCAAAACTGGGAACTTGGTGTAGTCAGCTCAGCCTTTTTTTTTTTTTTTTTTTTTTTTTTTTTTTTTTTTTTTTTCTGAACAAGCCTTGAAATATAATTGGAAACTGCGGAACTTGAGAACAAAGAGCGATGTGAGCTTACTTTGCTTGGTTCTGTTGAAGCAGGACACTATCCACAGTGTATATTACTTGTGGGCTATGCAACAAATGGAGCCAGAAGAAATCAATGAGGATGCTATTTACTCGATGTGGAGGCTAAGGGAGATGCAACAAGTTGGTGTCGCGGCTCTTATATAGGGTGCACCTTATACATAATTCTCTTCTTTTACTTGATGGACGTGTTGTATCACTTCTCGGGGATTTTAACTTCTACAGGGAAGTTCTTTTTGAGTAGGCATATTCACATTATTTTTTAGGCAATCCTCCTATTCATTAAGGGAAATGAGAAAAAACAAGTGTAAGGAAATTATTTAGCTGTGAATCCTGCACAATGCAATTTTGTGGAAGTTAATATTTTAATAAAATAAATATTTCTTAAAAAAAAAAAAAAAAACAAAAAAAGATACAAGGCTGCATTTTGCTTTCATGGAGTTTTTTTAGTTTACCAAGTTACTAAATATTTTGTTGCTCCCTTCTTTTATACATCATAGAGCATCAATTTCAAAAGAAAATTGTATTATTATTAATTTATGAAAATTTAATACTCTGTTTTTTTTTTTGTAGTTTTACCATCATTAAGACTAGAATAGACCCGATCTACAGTAACTTATTGTAGACCAAACCTTCTAGTATACCATACGAATGTGATTATATCATACAAAATGTGATTATATTACTATAAAAGTGATTATATCATGTTGAAACTGTTATGTAAATGTATCACTCAAAAAGTGAATTTATCATTATAAAAAGTATCAAATAGTTATAATCGTAAAGATAAATTATGTAATTTCATTAAATTATTTACTACTACCTCCCGTCCAAATTACTCGCAACTTTAGAATATTTTATATCTCACAAATAATACTCCAAAGTTGCGAGTAATTTGGACCGGAGGTAATATGAGATTATATAATTTAAAATATGACTCACAAAAAGATAATTATATCATCTAAAAATGTGATTATATCATCCAGAATGTGATTATATTATTTGAAAGTGTCAAATTTTAGGTCTACAATAATTTATTATAGACCGGGTTCATACAAGACCCTGACATTTTGTAATATTTGCATTCGCTTTATATGAAGTGCCAATACTTCCTTTTTCAGAATTTTTTTTTTGTATTCTTACAGTTCACTTTCTCTGACCATCTTTGGTTAGTTCATAATGAAAATAAGTGGAATATGTTGAATTCGTTTTAATTTTCTTGGTATACTTTTGTTATATTAGCATTATAATTTTTACAGAAGTAATTAAAAAGTAAATTCAATTTTTTTTTCTTTTTTTGATAAAAATCGCTAACAAAACAAACTAAACAACGACTACTAATTAAAAGCCCAACAAAGGAAACGGTGATCACGAGCACGGACAGCCAACCAATGCGGAGGAGCAACCCGTTTCCGAGGTACCTTTCATAGCTGATAAGCGGAAAAACGAAGTAGGATCTCCTGAAACAACCACATACAGGAAATACCCGTAGACTCAGGATGCTGAAAAAGGGAAACCAACTGACCACAATCCGTGTCGATTAGGAGACGAAAGCATTCCTGTCGAACCGCCATTCGAAGAGCCCACACACTTGCCTGGAGTTCAGCCTGAAAGGCAGTGCCAACACGACAAGCCCGCGTCCCACCGCCATGATCCGAAGAGACTTTGCGAAGAACCCAACCGGCACCTGCGCTGCTATCATGAGTCCCCCCCCCACAAAAACAAGCGCGTCAGCTCTTGCCTCGGATTAGGAGAACACCTATCTAAAGATAAAAGATGACGTTGAAAATCCTGAGCTTGAACTGCCCGTGTAGTCCATCACTGAGAAAGATGAAAGATCAAAGAAGGAGACACACAGATTGCCTGAAAATACAGTTATTCCGCACTGTCCAAATAGCCTAAAGTAAGGAAACAAAAGATATCAGACCAACAAGGTCCTTAGACCTCCTAAAAGAAGAAACTACAGCCACAATCCAATCTGAAAAGGAAGTGGAAGTTGCCAATGTACTATGTAGAGATAAAAGAGTCGAAGGGACGGATACAGGGACAATCCCTAAACAGATGAGAGGTCGTCTCGGGGTTGGTACGTCAGAAGATACAGAGCGGAACGACCAGGAGTCCCTTGGATAGCAAATTTGCCAGCACATGCAATGTGTCGTGAAGGATTTTCTAGTAAAAAAGCTTAAACTGGGGAAGAAGAGGAAGACCCCAGAAGCCGATTTAGTAGAAAAGCGACCATCCTTAGAGAATTTCCAATAGACAAAATTGTTCATAGCTCGATGTGGTCTCTCAAATGCTAAAATACGTTGAACCGACTGACTCTCTCTCAAAGAGCTGATGGATGTTAAATGTGTCCCACTTGCCAGAACACGGATTAATAATAGAAGAAACATGAGTCTGCACTTCCGACTTAGACAAAGAAGCTTTAACAGTCAAACCTCCAGGAACCCAATCATCTTCACGGATCCTAAATTCAAATTGTTGCTATATGTGGGCGTCGCTCGAAGTGCGCCTACGTTAAAGCATGTGGTGAATATGCTTGACACTCACAGGAAGTGAGAATTGACATTACGATTAGGGACAAGGAAAGTAAGGAGCCGCCAACAAGGTTTTAAGGAACTTGTAAACCGTTCACGGATCAATTAAGGCAACCACGATTAAGGGACAACGAAAGACAACAACGATTGACCCGTGAAGGTTACACCCCATTCGTAATCCATGAGATTACTAACTCCATAGGGTTCAGAACCACAAAAGGAGGATCGGGGATGATGGTACGAAGTGAGTCATGGAGTCACATTCGCCCGTATTGGCCTCTACTCGATTCTTATAGTGAAAAGTGATTCCTACGATCTCAAAGGCATGCAAAAAAAAAATTCAATTTGCTCCAAACTATTATTAAGCTAGATTGGTTGAAAATTAATGCAACACATAATTCTAAAATATTTGTGATCACTTGAATTAATAACAAAATTAAAAAGGAACCTAAACAGGTTGTCCAAATTATCTTATTAGGCGTGATTTTCAATTATATATTCCCTTTAAACATGCAATATGGTAATCATAAAAATATTATTAAATAAGCATTAATATTAGAAGCAATTTTACAATAAATCCAACAATATAAAATCGTTAGAAAAATAATAGAAATAAAAGGGACATAATTCTTCCTTTGATTCTATTTGCTTGCTACTATAAAATAATAAATGAGTTAGTAATTTCAAGGAAAAATAATAAAGCAATAATTAAATTAAAATAAATTAAATAGAGTTGATTTGGGGCCAAACCCTCAAATAGTTCTACCTTTCACACCTTGGTTTAAGGATAGAACCTCGAGTAAAGTATGGACTCCTTGGAGTGCTTGAAGAGAGAATTTTGAAAGAAGAAGGGTAGGCTAGTGTTTAGGCTAGAGCATAGAAGAGAGAAAAAGAGAGTTAATTGCTGCCCCGTATATTAGAAATGAGGGGGTATTTATAGGAAAAATGAGTAGAGGGAACACACGGAACCCTAAAAAGATAAAAACCCTAAAAATTAACACCGCGACACGACAAAGCACGCCGCGACACGGTGCAAGACACCGTCAGACGGGGAAAATTCCCGGGACACGAGGAAAAATTGAGTGACGCAAGAAATAATTAGATTACGGGAGATCAAATACGTGAAGGATTTACGCGGAAAGGACACGGAGCTGCCCCATGTCACGGGAATGCACACCTTGGCGCGGCCTTGTGCCCCGTGACGCGGTGTTTTTTGTTGTGATGCGGGAAACTCTGCGTCCATTTTTACGTCTAAATACATTTTTCCCCTAATTTCGTTCAGCCTTTTTAAGTGTCGATTGATAATTTCGGGCAATTTCTGATTTATTATTTATTAATTGGGCCAAAATAATAAAATAAATAAAATAAAAAGGTTTGGACCAAAATAATAAATAAAATAAAAAAAAGTTTGGGATAAAATTAAAAATAAACTATGCCTTGACTAAACATCAAGACCGATCCATGGATTATTAAAACTGAATTTAATTAAATACGATTTTTTAAGCACTCTCGGGATTAAATACTGAACCCGACCAATAATGGTGGTGAAAGATTGTTCATCATCGAGTTTGGTTTTGGGGAAACATTTTTAAGTGTCTATAGAAGCTCCCACTTTGACTGAGTTTATAGAAACGCCAGTTTCGAAAACGATAGTCAAAGTAGTCGATAGAGACGGAGAATGATTTAAGACGTTCTACAATCCTAAATCACTTTATATACGCCGATACCTGCAGAAAAATGTTAGTTCCACAGATAAAAGACTAATGGGATAGAATACGTATCTGACAGTGTCAAAGGTTGAAATGATATGTTTCTTTTCTCATGTAATTCTACAATCATGTGGTGGATAGGGGTGTGCATAAATGGACCTGGACCGAAAAACCGACCGGGATCGGACCGAAACTGGACCGGACCGGCCTGGACCGGTTGATTTCAGTCCGGTCTTCGGTCCTCACAAATTGGGGATTCCGGGTTTCCGGTCCAATCCGGGTAAAAACCGGAATATTTCGGAATGGACCGGAATGGACTGGAATGTGTGTTTTCGTAATTTGTTGGGTGAAAATTTTAAATTTTATTTTTAAATTTCTAAAAAATTTAGGTACAAAACTTATAATTTATAAATTCTAGGTGTAAAATAGGAAAACACGCAAACAAAAACAAGACGTTAAAAATGTATGTATATATTAAGATACTAAAATGAAAAAGAAAAATAAAAAAAATGTAACTGGTCTATTTCGGTCCAAAACCGAACCAGAATAATCAGGTCTGGACCGGAACCCGGATCGGTTGATTACGGTCCGATCCCCAAAAAACTTCGATTTCGGATTCTGGTCCATTCCGATCCCGGTCCGGTTTTGGATCGGTGCACAGCCCTACTGGTGGATACATATTATTAGGGATGTGCACTGGTCCAAAACCGGACCGGACCGGGACCGGAATGGACCGGAACCTGGAATCGAAGTTTTTTGGGGATCGGGACCGGACCGTAATCAACCGGTCCAGACCTGATTATTCCGGTCCTGTCCGATTTTGGATCGGAATAGACCGGTTACATTTTTTATTTATTTTTCTTTTCCATTTTAGTATCTTAATATATACATACATTTTTAACGTCTTGTTTTTGTTTGCGTGTTTTCCTATTTTACACCTAAATTTATAAATTATAAGTTTTGTACCTAAATTTTTTAGAAATTTAAAATTTTCACCCAACAAATTACGAAAACACACATTTCGGTTCAGACCGGAAAACCGGAGTCCCCAATTTGTGAGGACCGAAGACCGGACTGAAATCAATTGGTTCGGGCCGGTCCAATTCCGGTCCGATCCTGGTCGGTTTTCCGGTCCAAGTCCATTTATGCATACCCCTATCTGACACCAACGTATCGGTGACAAATGAGTTTGGTAGTTTCCTATGCTTGAAGGAATCCAGCGGATGACGTTTCGCTGAAACACTTTCCAT